CACTTTTGCCGCAGGAACGTTTGTGATGACCATACCATCGAGACACGTCCCGGGATACAAAGGCCGCCGTACCTATCTCTCCCGGTGATGGGTCGATCATTCGCGTGCCGGCTTTGTCAATCGTATCTCTATTGCGGCGACTTGGATTCTTTTGCATGCTTGAAACATCGAGATCCTCGGCTCTTCTTCAGACTGAAGTACTTCTAAGAGAGCTCCGAGTGACCGCCTTTGGGAGAGCGAAGTAACATCAGCGGCGAACCAAGCCCGGTGCATGCCGTCCACGTCAAGATCAACCCATACATCACCAGTGGTAGCGACTGATGATGGGCGATCCGGAGGTTTGGAGAATCTGTTCTCGGGGATGTGAAGTGGGTGCTGGCCGATGGTATCGAGGAGAGGACGGACGAGGTCGGCGAGCGACCAAGGAGGGCCCGCGACATGCGGAGACAATGTTCTTAGGCAGCGCTTCAATTGTGTTAGCACCCGTCATGCAAGAGTCTGTATGCGTGCTATAGTCTTCCTACGCCTTGTCGGTGAACGCGTGTGGGACTTCCATGGATCAGCTCGAGGCGATCTGCGAACGTTGAATCGCCGGTGTTCTGTTTCACCGGAGCGATGCCAGCGTGTCTTGAATCTTCATATACTGGGAGGCTGACGGGGGGTCGCCAACCTTGGCCTTGGATTGGGCAATGAAGAGGTTCTCTCTTGACGACAATCCCAGGCAGCGCAAACGTCTCGCGCCCGCCACAGGATTTCTCACAAACGTTGCGCTTCCTCGGACTTCTCTGAGCACATTCCTTGAGCTGGAAGCCACCCCCCCGTTCACATTCGTCTGTAATACGCCGTCTGTGCAGGCAAATGTCTTGCGCGCAGAGGAGCAAAGGCGTAAAGGCGGAGAGGCTGTGCTGCTGAACGGTGTGCTTTCCGGGCTGGGTGCTGAGAAGCTGTCGGAGGCGTTCAAACGGCCATTTCACGGGGTCGCACTGGAAGATCTGGGATGCAAGGGTTCGTGCATCGTGATATACGCCTGGCCCTCACCGCTGAAGTCATCCAGGACGTGTAGAGGCTGGAAATGTCGCTGAACCTATTGCTTCGACTACTGCCGAAGCATTACCTGAGGCCGATGGGAATCTTTCGCCAACGGATCCGGAACAATCGACGAAATCAGCCAAACCGTCCATATCTGACCGTATTCGCAAACTGTGGAATGTCAGTGCGAATCATGATCACCGTGCAGAGCCGTGTTGAGACGATATCCAGGATCATCCAATTCTACCGTGGAAGTTCAAATGGCGCGAGCGCTTCTTAGATGAATACTTACGGGTGGATGGACGTGCAGAAGCCTTGGGCCTTGAGCAATGCCCAGGCTGTGGTCAAGATGGGTTTCCTGGGTATCGTTGTGAAGACTGTCGCGGCGCCGATCTGTGTAAAGATTGCATCGTTCATTGGCATCGCTATGCACCCTTGCACAAGATTGAGGTATGTTTGCCATTCTGACTCGCATTGCAATAAGTGCTGATGCATAGCCCAGCGATTTAACGAGCGACTGGGGTTCTACGAACGGGCAAACGGCGCGGACGTGGGGATACGGCTACAACTTCTCCATCGTCCTGGAGAGGTGTGCAAGTTTCGCTCTCTTCACACTGTCGAGAATTGCACCGTCATCCACACAAACGGCATACACAAGATACCAGTTGATTTCTGTAAATGCGAACTCGGGCGCGATATTCCGAATCACATCCAACTGATGCGATGGCGCCTTTGGCCAGCTACTTGCGAGAACCCCAGGACTGCAACGACGTTTGAGGCGCTCGATCTCTTCACGCGGCTATCGGTACTGGGCAGACTGAACATATACGATTTTCATCGCGCACTTGAGGCGGCAACCGACGGCGCGATGCTCAAGGGAATAGCAGTATACCTGTTTTCGCCGTCGTTGTGAACCCCTATGCTAATATCCTGTTCAGTGCGTGAGACAGCAGCTATCCGACTGCGCCCGACAATTTCGCCACATTCTGATGTTTAAGCGAGCTGGTCGAGGCCACGAGCCTGGAGGCATTGCTGGAACACCTCCGGGCGCTTGCGCGATCCGGTGCCCTGCCTGCCCGAACTTGGATCTCAACGTCCCCAAGGACTGGGCGTTGAGTCCATTCCGGTATGTGGGTATATATTCTTGTGGGCCCAGTGACATATGATTCCTGAACAGATGGTTATATCGACTTGTCCTAGCGTTGGATGCGAACTTCCGACTCTCGAATAAAAAGAGGTCGACGGCGGAAAAGGACCCAAACCTCACCGACGGCAGAGCTTACATGGCGCCTTGGGACGATTACGCAGCTCACGTCGCGGAGACTGATAAGGAACTTGCTGAGGTGGTGAGCGAAGAAGTGAACTACTAGCGCGTGTAAAAGCTCACTACATACACGATCGTAGTCCACGTGCTCAAAGTTCTCAGCGCTTGAGATGGCTAATTCGAGGGGTGGGAAGGGCCAGCGCTCCACCGGAGTCGCCGCTTGTGTATGTGCACGCCATGAGTTCGTGCAGCCCCTCGGGGTCGCACCTTTACGCAAAGGAGAACGGTGAGCCGTGACCGGAACGGGCGCACGTTGTTGTTGACTAGCGGTCATTCCCATGACAGGTACGAGACCGTCGATTGGGTCCTCTGTGGCGCTTTGTCGTATGCCCGTGCCGCCGAAGTTACGATCTCTTATGACGTTGTCTGCCAGTACTGCAAGAAACTCGGGGACCGCCTGGCACGTATCCCACCTGTACGCGTCATCTGGGCCGGTGCTCAGGCTTTCATGAAGCTCGCCGAGACAAATTGCATCTCTTACGTGGTTCCGAAATTTCACATATATGCTCATAAGGCATACTGTCAGCTACGATATGCGTTCGGATGGCTCTTCGGCACGGCTGTGATTGATGGGGAAGCCCCGGAGCGCTTGTGGTCGGGCGTCAACGCTGCTGCCTCCAGCCTGCGAGAGATGGGCCCTGGTGGTAACAATGATACGATGGACGACATCTTTGGCGCATGGAATTGGCAGAAAACTTGTCGTATAGGTGAGTGTCAAGGAAGTTCTTGAGATAGACCACTGCTGATCAAAGTTTAGGCACTTCGCTGTGCGAGAGAATGGACCGGGCACTTGACGAGGGCGATATTCAATGTGATATTCACACGGAGTTTACGGAAGCACTGCGTGCAGAACAACCTGACAAGCTCGTTCAAGAGGAAGAACGCATCGTAGAGTGGGACAACGGCGACAAGACCAAGATGGCCGATTCCCAGTGCCCATACTATTCAGTAACGCAACGTGGGTAGTTAACACATGAACCCCCATCTATTCAGAGAGCAATGTCTGAACTATGCATCAGATTTATCAACGGCACAGATCAAACTACAGAGCGAGGAAGGAAAGGCTTCCATCATGAACAAGGAGGCGCACGACATGGCAGATGAGGATGTTGCGCTCGCGAACTGTCTTTCGCTTGGTCTGGAGATCGAGAAAGAGAGGTCCGTATTCATCTACTTGACGGTGTGCTGCCGGACATTAACGATCATTGGATGTAAAGAGCGCGCATCAGAATGGAGTTCGACGATGAGGGCGGTGCCAACAAGCAGGTGAACACAAGCGCCTTGGGTGCGCTGTCACAGTCAATTTCTGCATTCCGCGCGGAGCAGGAACAATGCATGCCCACAACCTCTGCCGTTCTAACGGATGTCGAACGCAACCCTGATGCCGAGTCAGCAATGACAATTCAACTATGTCTGCCATCGAGTCCCCCGGACGGCGACAGCTCGTTGGTATCGCCGCAGGCCCGAGCTGTGGAGGCCAAGCTTCGTTGGGAAGGGATGGCCGATGAGCTCGAGGGCCTCATCCACCAATTACGGCTGAAAGGGTGCTTGTACAAACACAGGATTGTACACTCGACTGGCCAGTACATGGCTACCCGCGCTTTATCCGCCCAGGCAGCAGTGAACGCCAACATCAAGACGGCCGCAGATGCATATAGACGTCATCGCGCTGCCTATCTTTCGCTCAAGGGGAAAGGATCTTGGGAAGACACGATGCGCGAGCTCGACGATGCCGATTGTCGTTGCATGGGCGACAAAATTTTGGAGCATATAGAGAATATGTCCCACAAGCGCATAGCGGACTACCTACGGGGTGGGCGTAGTGCAGAGGCGCAGGGTGGAACTCGATATAAGCTGTCATGGCTTTGGTATAACTGGACCGCAGCCTCTGATACTGGCATCAATGAAGGTGAGCTGTCAGTAAGGATTCGATGAAGTGACCACTCAAACGTCAATTAGAACTTATGGCAGAGTGGGCCAAGTCTCGTGCGCGCGCGCAGCATTGGGCTCAAGAGGTCCGGCTTGTTGACGCCGAGATGCAACGAGTGATCGACTTTAACGAGTCCATGGCGCAGATATGGGATGTACGTCGAGATTGTCAAGCAACGGTCGAGCTTGGGGATCAGCGATGCTGGGCTCGTGATGCGGGTTGGGCTGACGGCGTGCGGGCATATGCTTCGAAGCAGGCGTTCATTCGGAGATCACAAGCCGAAAGGTGGCGCCAGCAATTTGCTCCTTTGAGGACGGAAGCACGCAGGTTCTTGACTGTGCATACAGAGGAGGGCATTTCACTCGATCCCGCAACGCTTTTGCCAGCGGACGAGATCGATGACATGAAGCGTCTCATCGCGGCTAGGCGTGAAAGGCGCAAGAAGCGGAAGAGTACCGAGGAGAAAGAGGTGGAATCTGGTCCAGTGGACGAGGTCCAAGACGAAGGGGAGGAACCTGCTGTGGTGAACGCTGTGAGGAAAAAGGGCAAGGGAACGAGGAAAGTGACCGGGGCGGGAAAGGGTCAACGGAAACGACGACGACGCGCCAAATAGTAGACTTATATCTGCTAAAATGACATGCTCATATGGCATGAACACCGGAATTGTCGTACACGAGCTCATATTTCAATTGACGGAGGCAGACACGAGTCGTCTGGGTTAAGACCATAAACCGTCATGAAAACGTATACAGAAACCATCAATCCAGTGTGTGCTAACGGCCACAAGTGAATTCATAGTCGTGGGTGGCCGGGAGAAAGGGTGATAGGTTTCACGTAGTTGAGCTTCGAGAGAGGGGCCTAGGGAGAAGAAGGAGGCATGAAGGATGGCGGGGATCAGTGATAACGACGGGTGATATGCTTGAGGGAGGAGAGAGACGACGGGAAGAGCTCGCGGGAAGATGCAAGTCCGAGGAGTCATGCGACGAAAAGACACGTCAACGACGACGCCGCACACGACCTAGTCGACTCAGTGATTCACCTATAAAATGGGTACGTGGAACCTCAAGCTCGGTATAAAGTAGCGACCACGTAAGATCTGTATCGACCTCGCACGGCTACCCCGCGACATGCAAAAAAAGCCTCGACAAGATGCCCTGTCAGGGGCCCTATCGCGCTTTAGCTACTTCGGTTATTGACAATGACGCTTTCGTATTTTCTCCTATATCACCACGAAAGGGGTCCTTCGAGCTCAATCGTGATATAGTCCCAGCCAAGTGTCCTGATAGTCCAGTAAGTACCTCCGACGACGACGCGCTCGGCTCTGTGGTATATCTTGTTTGCAAGATGAGCATCGAGATAGTGTTCTGGCGCTCGGCCTATGCATGTCCGTGCTGTCCGTAAACTGCCTAATCACTACATACGTGCAAGAGTGCATTCAGGCCAGTGGAAATGGGGGCTCGCTCGATACGGGGTGGACCGGAATGGTGTCGTCGGACTGGGCGACCGCTTTATAAATCAGCACGGGATCAGCGAAAAAGACCACCAACAGTCGTAGCGTATTAAGCGTACCTGAAAATCTCTCGTGCCTACCTAGAGTGTGCAAGCCGCATCATGGCCAATGCATGACTTGGTCCATCCTCCAGAGCCAATACGGGCGAAGACGACGCGTAGGAATGGCCGACACCTGCGGGGCGGGCAGTCGCCGCTCCGCCGACGGCGCTGTCGGGCTGCACGCCGAAGACTGGACCGGTCTTCTCCGTGAATGGAAATCAAGCGAAGCAGGGGCAAGCTGGTCTATCCATCACCGGGAGAGACAGGTACGGCGGCCTTTGTATCCCGGGACGTGTCTCGATGGTATGGTCATCACAAACGTTCCTGCGGCAAAAGTGAGAGGGCAGATAAGAATGACAGAGGTGCACCAGTCCATTACCTACTGTGTTGAAAAGTGGCCGTAGACGCGATGAGGTCCCTCGGGGACTGCCCGGTAGAGAATGCCCGTCGTCCTCGTTGACGGATTCTCTAATGTCGGGCGGGAGGTTGTGAAGGTGCGATGTGAGAGCCGACCCGAACTCCCATCCACAGGGGCGCTGACAACGCTTGAAGGAAGAGTGGCGATGATCTCGCAGCGATGCTTGGAATGCGCTGCACGAGAGGGAGATCCTACGAAGCCGGCGCAAGCCGATGCAGCCAGCCGACGCGATGTCGATGCGCAGCTCAAGAAGACGGTCGTGCTAAGCAGGAGGAAAAGAAAGCCGTGAGCCCGGAGTCACCGCAAGACGAAGGACGGGCATGACTCACACGTACGCTCGTTCATAGAACTGTGAAGATCCAAACCAGTTGCTGAGGAGCAAGGCTTGGGCGGCGACAACAGGTCGCAGGGCAAGGAGAGCTCGAGAGGGACGTCGCGCTGAGTAAAAACGTGAGCCCAGAGCCACTACAAGATGTAGAATAGACGAGACTTACACTCGTTCGTTTATTCCAAGAGCCTGTGAGAGCTTAATTCCATCAAGCCTTCGCGATACGGCTACTCCGATGTGTGTCCGCCGCGAAATCGATGGAGAGGCAGCGCTGCGGCGCGACCAAGGACAAG